ATTCTGGTTTGGGAATCGTCATCCGTGCCACTCTCTGTAATTGAAACGGTGATTCGTATATAAGTGGAGAAAGTGACTTCTTGCGAGTTTATTCCGTTGGTAGTAATTGCTGGTTGGTTGTTCTTCATTGCCTCCGTCTTCGTTATTTTCAATTGAATTCCTGTCTCCGCTACTGGCTTCTTCGACCATTTTGTTGGGTTACGCATGTAAATCTGAGAGTTTGCGTGACATTGGGCATAAGTCGTCCTCGAAATTCAGAAATTCTAGTCTCTTGTTACCTGACAAACCTTTTCCTGCCTGCTATCTCTCACATAATTCAATCCATCATAGTTAGGCATATCATTAATGTTCGTAGGCAATCTCGCCTAGTTGATTAATTCGCTAGTTTTCGAGCCAGTCCTAAATCCGGTAGCAGAGGGAATGCTCGCCATGAGTCTAGTAGCCCTACCGCTGAAAATCAATCTAATCTTCACATAAACTTCAAAGCAGAAACAGAATATAACACAACGCACCTTTTCATAGCTCTATACTCTCAAACAATAAGTAGCCGCTTGCATAGCAATCAATATACTTTTTCATCATTATATAACCTTCCATCGATCAAGTAGACGCAAATGGTAATCTGAATTATGCGTTAAGAATGTTAATCAAGGCGTGCAAATTATCTTTGAATGGCATCCTTAGTAAGGTGTATCTGCGATACAATAAGATAATATTGGATAGTAAGGTAGATAATCGTTAGGTAAATGTTGTTGGAGGCAATCAGATGCAGCTGCTGTACACATGGAATATTTCCAAGTGCTTAAGACGTTGGATAACTTTGGTTATTCATTTATCTATCAGGAGGTAGAAAACTGGTTATAGACCTTTGGAAGAATTCGTATGACGAAAGATTTCGAAGAATACTTCTTTGTACACTGAGCTACTGTCAGCCTGTGGGTTATCCAGTTATTCCTTACAGAATTCAGAACGAATAGAATCACCCAGACAAATCTATCCTGCAACAAAGTCATGACACATTTTATCTCTGAAAATCACGAATAGTCATAAACTAGAAGGGAGAGGCTGAGGTTCATATAAACATATACTGAATATTCCTCAAACTGTTCACCAAGTATAAATTGGCCAATGAGTACCATTGCATCTTACAACACATCCTCGGGTATTCAAAATCAAAACGTTCAAATCCTATCAACACTGTAGCTTCTTGAGTTTGATGAATACTCATTCTCTCAATGCACTCGAGAATGAAGTGCAAAGAAATTCTCATTTCACTGAGACTTGCGCTATAATTCAGATATTCACTGAACACCTTTCACACAAACTGTTGTTCCGAAGATTTCAATATAGAGGAAATCCTCATTTAGACATTTAGAAAGCAAAACGATTGAGCGGAGAAATATTCAGTTTCCAATTGGGTCGTCATCTGTGGCTCTGCTCTAATATACATGTATAGCATTTTTATTACAGTACGCAACAATCTTCCAATCAAGTGGCACTGATATGTTTGTTAACAATAATTAGTCAGTAACAATATATCAATGGGGTGATAATTACCGGAGAAACTTAATACTCACAATTAAAAGGTATAAATGATCGCAACAGATAGATCATTTAACGCATAACTTTGGAAAAAATGGAGAGTAACTAAGGAATAAGTGTTTTTTCAAGTTGATCACGCAACAGATTGTTAAAGAAAATAAAACGATTTGGATTATGATGACGTGTGATTAAAGATGAAGTAGTCAGAAAATATTTCTTCGCTCAATCCCTTTGCTTTCTAAATGTCTATATGGGTATTTTTTCTATACTGAATACGCATTCATCCATAGTGATGATTTTCTTCCAATAAGATTCAGAAGTGCAATCGATGTTTTGGGCAACCAGTTGAATAAACTAATTTTCTTTGAGTGGACACTAGTCACTAACCAGTGTGATGTGTCTAGTGCTTTCTCTGGTGCAGACTGAATTATATCAGTCAGGTATGCAATGTGGCCGATTGCCTCCAACCATCTAAACTGATTTTCTGTTTTCTTGATTTTAGGCTCAATAAAATCAAAATCCATATAACTACCATCTCAACAATTAGATACATTCACACAACATGTTGAAAACTCTACACCATGTGTTCATATTCACTTCAGTAATCACACTGAAATATGATTATGAAACACGGAAAATACTCAGTGAAATTGATACTGATTCATATAAAGATAGATAATACGCCTTGTGGAATAAAAGATTGGGTGATTTGTCCAGTCACAATACCATTTGATAAAGTCTAACCAGTCTGATGACGTCACCAATTTCATGTACCTCTCTATTGTGTAGAAAATTTATTTTGATAAAGTCTCACAGTGTTATACAGTTTTATGCAATAGGCGAAAACATCGGATGATATTATGGAGTTATACTCCACCACAGTGCCCATGTCCTGCTCGTATACATGCAACTATGGATGGAATCATCAACGCACATACACAGAAAGATCTCTTGTGACGTCATTTGTATATCGAAAACAACATATCAAGACTGTCCACAAATGCATATGTAGTCTCATATTTGTGCAACACTGTTGCATTTAATCCATTTGTATGACGTAATCTCACTGCCTTATGCCGGCGTACATTCCTCACATGAGCATTCTTCTATCATCTCAAAGTGTCGACTGTTTGTGAAACAATATTGGATAAAGTATTAAAGCTGAATGCCTCAGAGTAGGCAAGTAAGAGCTATGGTCAACGATATTCAGCGTGTTTATCAGTAACTAGACTATAAGATAAGTAAGAAATTACTGCATAACAAAACCAAAACCAGTAATGGAGGCTCATTTCTAATTACAGATTTTTCTCGAATAGAGTACTATCATTCCAATTTCGCCATATTCTCAATAACTCATGAGTGTCATTTCAGAGGTGGAGGAATGTGAACAACTGAAATGAGTCACTTATTGTCAGAATACGAAATAACCTCACAGTGTACAATTCTCCCATCGTGGTTTTACGACAACGTGTGCGAGGAATTTGTTTTAATTCAAGGAACGGATGTGGTCAACCGATGCGGACACCTGGACAAACTAAAAACTATTAACAATACCGAGGAGGAGCAGATGTTCTTGCATACCAAAATGGCGTTGATATGGATGACATGTGATTATGAGTTCACAAGGTGGTGAAATTGTCTACAGCATACGATTTTGTTCAAACCAACTGACACGATTAAATTCACTCATGGGATGTAATAAGTGTGCACGAAAACTATTCCTAACAAATAATACAGATAGATATTTACTTTGGTTGAGGACTCGGTCGCCAGGAATGTGAAGAGAGAGTAAATTTTTCACAAGATTTAACAAATATAACAACGTCGTCACATTGTCTATCATGATAACAGTTATAGTTACAAACTAGAAACACGTGAAGATCATTTTTGAAATCGCTTTCTAAAGCATTGAAATGAAATTAATGATATTGAGAATTCTTGACTTTACAACAGAAGTCAGCGTATACAACTACTTGTTTATTTATTCAGGTATCATCAAAGGTAGAAAATGACACAATATCAGCTACCTGTATTCTTGCTTCCTTGGTGTAATCAAATAAACTGGCGAATACCATGAATAGTCCCAGAAAATTGAACAATTCCATGTAGATTATAAATATCTTCCGTCCTACTATTTCTTCTTTGGAATACTTTAACCACACTGTTATGAAGTATATTGTCTGCGAATATCATAACACAAATTGCAAAGATTCGGAGTGAATATGAGGAAAAAACATTTGGTCTGTTTTATTAAATGCAATCTCAATGCATCTTTGAATGATGAGGCCCACACAAGCTCAGTGGATTTCATTAGTGGAAGGTTTCTCATGATAATCATTGAACTTAGCGATAAAATGAAATATCGGAATTTAACATCACCTGATATGCCTCATCAACAGTTACACCAACTGAGAAGTATCCTGCTGAGAACAAGTATTCACAAATAAACAGACATCATGCAAATGATAAAGCCTACACTGTTTTCACAAATTGAAAGTAATATCATCCATTCCGCAAGATGTCTTTCTCCATCACTGCTGTTTGATCTCACTTTCTTTCTTCCAGAATCTCCACAGTCATGTTGCGTTTCCTCTCCACTGACCTTCCTAATGACACACGCACACACATTTTCTATGTTTCTTTGAAGACATACATCAGCGCACTACTTATATCGAAATCTAATTAGCACAAAGGACAATCCAGCTACAAATGTGGAGATCAACTGAGTAAATACTGTCAACTGACAATGATGAGAACTATCAATGGGGATAATCACATAGATTACACAATGAAAAGTGTCAATACAACATCCTCAGGCAGTATGTTTGGAACTCACGAGCATTACTCCACAACCAAGGAATATGGCGGCCAGTAGATTGTATGGAAACTAAAATTGGAAAGCAAACAAAATAAGAATTAGTGTGAAAATTTATTAATCTTTGGTTAGATACAAATGGCATAATGGAACTGTTTCGATTTGTAGCTGAAATTATCCTTCGAAACTGAGATTCGAATAAATGCCTGATTCCAACAAACAGTTAGTTAGTTTGGATTTAGTAGCTAACAGAGATCGTTTGTCAAGTATTCCACCGAAGGGGGAACACAACTTCCCTTCTTCTAATCACAGACTATAATATATTCAGTTGAACGTAAGAAGTAAACTTTAGTTTGCAAAGTGAACCCAGAGACGGTTTTATTTCTATCAAGTAAAATATCATACATTATTGTTTATAATCTGGAATGATCAAGCATTCAGTCTATTTTCAAAATGCAAGGGGTTGCTAGAGGATTCTCTATTCACTAAATATGCAATTGGCGTGAACTCGTCAATATGCATTACGCAAATAGTAACAACACAATACTTAACCAATTGCAAACTTTCCAGGTATATTTTCATACATGCCCATATACACTAGGAAAATCTGGGGTAAAATTCGCAGTTCACATTAAACACTCACATGGTAGTATTCAGATATAATGCAGAAGATGCATCCTACGATACAGAATACCGCAAGCATTCCAAAGAACACAGCATATCCCCTCGGTGTAAAATGTTTTGATTTGAATCCGAGAAGTATTGCCACTGAAGCCATGACAGCCGTTATAACGAACGAAATCAAGCTGTTTATTATGCCAGTTTGATAACACAATATACAATCAACGACAGTCCATGAAAGGATCTAGACAACACAATCAAAAACGTCAGTGGTTTTTATGAAAAATAGGTAGATTATAACTTGTTGTTCAGAAATATTCGACACATTTATTTTGTGTGTTCATGTTACATCGATAGCGGTCATTCACATTATGACATTTCATTACTCAAAGCATTTCTGAAGTCAGCGCATATTTGTTGGGAAATGTGATAGACTAGTCATCATTGCAGTTGTATTCACTGAAGAGATCAGAGTGTTATCAAACTTCAGACCAGTAAGCAACGATGTGATCTGCAACGTACATGAATTTCCGGTCATGACTATCTTTCGATGTGGTCTCAATATAATCACGCTTTCTCTATCGTCATGTGTTGTCTTCATGTTTTTGTAAACAAATATCCACGTGTATGGCTAAATGTCTACAGTGCGTTTCGTTTGAGAGGACAACTTAATGTTGCGGCCATTCGCAGAAAGTTTGGGATTATTTGTGATCTGTGAGGTGTTATACACCAGTTGTTTTCCCTTCAATCGATTTCACTTCATACACAAGATGATCCAGTTTAACTGCAGCCAGTCTCTTCATTTCGCCTGATAATTTCTTCAACGATAACCACTCAGAGTGATGTCTGTGTATTCTGACAAGTCGATTACAAAGAACCACGTTGGAATAGTAATGCCTAGTGCGTAATCCCCTGAAATACGTTTACCATACACTGATATGTCGAGGACATATTGCCTAAAGGCTTTCTTTGAACCTTCTTTCATGTTGTTAATAAATATCAGTTGCACAGCAATAAGCTGAGTGGTGAATAGATTACAATTGCAACTCTCGAATCTGTTGATTTCAACAACTTCCCCTATATGAGATGTATGTTGGTTAAATGAAGGTGTCCAACAACTGAAATCTCCAAATTAACAATGAAAATTACAACCTTCTGTGAATTTTCATTTGCTTATCTACAATGAGATACTTTATGGAAATACGATTTCACACGATGTTATTCAAGGACGCTGCATTTCAGTCTACATTTACAAGAGAATCATTCACGAAACAATTACATCAGTTCATAACTTACTGCCAATGTCATCATAATGATGTAAATTCGGTACTTCAGTCGTAATCTCAGAGTAAGTAGAACGCACATGTTCATAATGAAACCAAAGATTCTGAAATGAATAATACAATGTGGCATCAATGAATTCATCAAAATCAATAGCAAATCAGTTTGTGCTCAGACAGCAACGTCTGGTAAAACTCATTGTTCATACAATGTTCACCAATCGGTGAAGTAACACGATCATTGTGATGGGATCCGTCCTTGGACATTTCAACATACATCACAGTTGAAACTCGGTCAGAAATATACTTCAAGAAAGAAAACATTCAAGGCATTTCTACTCTAATGAGAAACTTTGTTAATTTCATTTCAACTTGTGATTCCATAGACAATGCGGTACTCAAATACGTCTAATATGCACCATTCTACAAACAGTAAGATTAACTAAAGATTTCCTAGCGAGAAATTAATAACATTGAAAGATATCTTGTTGAATTGAACAAATTCATGCACTTTCACCCTCCTGTCACACTTACTTCACCGAAATTATAACACATTCAGTCAATGAATATTAGAAGAACCAATAAAGTACATGATAATTACAACCCACTATGACATGAATGATCTCACTGTCCATAAAATAACTTTAATTCAGTTAAGTAGAAGTCAGCAGAAAAAAGTTGTCAGGATGGGAATCCATCTCCGACATTTTGAAACTTGCCATTTCTCCATACTCTCCATGATCAGTTTACTGTCTACTGCTCAACTTATCTGTTGCAAGTCAATCTGAACGAAGAATATTCTTTGCAATAATTACTCTTCAGGTTTTCCAAAACTATCATGATTAAGTCAATCTGAAGAGAATATTCTTTTCAATAATTTCTCCTACTCAGGTTCTTACAATTATGAAATATAATATTTTTTGTGGTTACAGTAATGGCCAGTTATGCGGTGGATACATTTTCTACGTAGAATAACAGATTAGTTATGGGGTGTCAAAATACATAGTCGTATTTGTATGACAAACGTGCAAGTTGGCTGAAATCGATTACAAAATATTTCGATGAAATGGGAGAGAATGGTGGTGATTAGTCATAATAGATTTGTAGAGTGTGGAGTAGGAAAATTGACAAGTCAGTTCAAGATTATTAGAAGGTGTCAGGTGAGTAAGGGGCTAGCACAAAGTGGTATGTATTAAAGAGAGGATAGTAAGATTGCAATGAGAGGTTCATAATGAAATAACGAATGTGTGAAATGCAACAGGTGGAAGCATATATTGAGAAAGGAGATAATATCACTAATAATAAGTCCGGATGGTATAAATGGAAAATTCGATAGTATTGAGAGAATGTTTGAATGAATGGCATGAATTATGACGAATAATAATAACAATAATAATAATTGTAATAATAAGCAAAGAAAGAAAGAAAACCAAGAGGGTTAAGGGGAAGAACCACTCTTGGTGAGAATAATGTCGACTGAACCGGAACTTTGTATCCAAAAAACCGGTCCAGACGCTGTTCCTACCGTAGACAAACTTGAAATGATATTGTTTTTACAAACAATATCGTTTTGTATTTCATTCATTGGGAAATATAAAAACCCTTTATTATAGTGAATATCATATACTCAGTGCCGAAATTTTTTTCAAACTGTTAAAAGTGAACTTGGTTTGGACATATATATAAATCATCACCATTGTCTCCCATTTCAAAGAAATATTTTGTAATCGATTTCAGCCAAATTGCACGTTTGTCATACAAATACGACTATGTATTTTGACACCCTATAACTAATCTGTTATTCTACGTAGAAAATGTATCCGCCGCATAACTAGCTATTATTGTAACGACAAAAAATATTATATTTCATAATTGTGAGAACCTGAAGAGTAAATATTGAAAAGAATATTTTTCGTTCAGATTTACTTTAATTCATGATATGGGAATGTTTCACACCGTATTAAATCTTATCTGTTGGAAGTGAGCAGTTTAATTTTGAAAAGTAGATGGAAATGTATATGCACGTACTTACCCAAGTACAATCTTCACAATAAGAATAGGCAATGGATCTACTTTTCTTTCATCAGTGACTTTACTGAAATCGAAATATATTGGTTGGAATGTTATCTCACTCGACAGTCTCCATCGAATCACCAGCTGTGAACCACATCATTAGCTAATAATTCCTGGCTCCTTTGTAAATCTGAAAATGATTGACATAATTATTCATCATTGCACACCACAAAGAACATCAACACGCGAAACACTAAGCAATGTACTATACGAATGAGTCTACAGATTATCATAAAACAACTTTGAGAGAATCATTACTGTGAGCTACACATATATGCTCATTTACATGTGGATAAGGTGGAATTCATTATTTGGTCCACGGATCACTCTTCAAATCTGATATACAAATATGAGTATATGACTCAACAAGCAAATTGTCTCCCACTAGTTTCACACGACGCACCAGGCCCTGGAGTGGAAAGAGGATGGGCGTTTGATATTAGAGGGTTAAATGAAGATGGTGTGAGTAGGAGATAAAAGCCAATGGGAAACCGTGGAGGCAACTAAAGTAAACTGGAGAAAACAAGATGAAGTGTAATTGTGCGTTTGAAGGCTTATGTTCCACTTCGAACCTCAGAGAATAATAATATAGTTAATATCCGAATATTACAAATAATTTTTCATTTACAACATCGAAACCTATGGTATTCGTACACATCAGTCAGTTACAAGCTGATAAACTCACAGTCTCCTATTCCAATATACTGCTCAAGTATTCACACATGTGACATTTATATAATTGTTGGGAGACCACGTCAATAAACACTCTGATAACACTGAATGTGATACTCCAAAATGATCTTTATTCATGTACATTCCTGCTGCAAAACATCAATGTAAACAAACCAATTTTTAATTTGAACATTATTCCAATGTTCTCCATGATAATATTTTCAATGTTTATGCAACGTGTGTAAGTGTTTAAGAGAATTACAACGGGGTGCAAAATAACATATTTTTCAGTCAACATGATCCTTGCTACTTCTGATAATCATAATCATACTCAAGTGAAGTATCACTCTACATATGTATTAGTAACAAGGCGCCTACTGTAGTCCATTCACGCACGTCGTTCCAGTATGAAAGTGTGAATGAATCAGGTTTCTTTCTTTTGCGTAGATTTTCATTTTCAAAACATGATTCTCTTGTTCATCTGGTCAGAATGGATAGAAAGTGGATGTTTCACAATAAAACATCATTCCTAACAATTAATCTTTCAAATTTCTAGAGTGCAAATAACATTTTCATTGGAACTAACATACACAGGAGCTGCAGCAACATTCAGAGATGGATTTACACCTTCATACTGTTGACCGTTTCATCACATTAATGGACAATATTATCTTTCCTTAATCAGAGTTTGTTGTCATTAAGCAAAAATTGGTCTTCTTAAGTGACAGTCAAAATATTTTTCAGTAACACATAATGCTTCTTCAGTAAGGTAGATATGAACGACACTTCGAAGTGTGATTTGGGAATGCCAGACACAGTGGTAAAATTACTTTGGGAAACTCCACAGTTGAATATTTCTATGCTATAATTCTGCGACTGATAGGTAATATGATATGTGATTGCCATTAGAATTTCATACGAGGTGATAACAAATGTCTAATATCACTGCGTCTTTCCCGATCGATAGCTGCTATCTTGACGTGGTAGTCGGGCTTGTATATCGCAATGACCCAACGAGCTACACTGGCTGGAACTTATGTTCCTGTAGGTCCTACTATGCCAAAAAGGTTGTTTGCATAGCGGTTAGACAAAAAGCAGCTAACCAATCCAATACTATGAATCAAACAAACTCACAAAATATCATGGTGGCAGCGTATACAAACACGAAGATATCCACAAGGCTACATGGGTGTCACCAGATGGGCGAACCGAAAACCAAATTGACTTCATCTCAATCTCAAGGAAGTGGAGGCGCAGCCTACTGTGCACGAAAGTAAGAAGAGGAGCAGACGTTGGCTCAGACCACTATCTCGTACAAGGCACAATCCAAATCAAATTGAAAGCTTTCAGAGAAACAGGAGCTGCAGATAGACCACAAGTCAAGTTCAACACTCAAAGACTGAAGGACCAGGACACAAAGGACATCTTCACTGCAAGTATAAAAGACAAAGCCGAGACACAAATCAACACTAGCGAAGAAGTCAGCGTCGAAAAGCACTGGAACAACTTGAAAACAGTGTGGAGTGAAACCTGCATGGAAGTTTTAGGCAGGAAGAAGAGACAGGACAAACAATGGCTCACTACGGACACTTGGAGACTGATAGAAGAGAGAGGGATGGTGAAACAAAAAATTCTCCAGTGCACCGACGAGCAACAAAAACAGAATTTGAATGCAAGCTACAAGAAACTGAACAAAAGAGTAAAGAAGAGTACCAGAGAAGACAAAAGAAAGCATTATGAAACCATGGGAAGTGAAGCAGAACAAGCTGCAGGCAACGCGCCCAACAATACCAACAACGGAGACAGAGCTACCAGTGAACACCAATCCCCTGACGAAATCAGATGTCCTGAAGGCAATCAAGATGCTAAAAGCTGGAAAAGCAACAGGACCAGATGGAATCCCAGCAGAAGCATTGAAAATGGACCCAGAGACAACAGCGGACTTGATGACGCCACTACTGGAGAAGGTGTGGAAAGAAGGCAAAGTACCCGAGGATTGGAAGAAAGGATACCTAATCAAACTACCAAAGAAAGGAGACTTGAGTCAATGCAACAACTGGCGCGGAATTATGCTCCTGTCCATCCCAAGCAAAATACTAAGCCGCATCATCCTGGAGAGGATCAACTAAGCCCTGAATGAAAAAGTTTGATCGGAACAGGCTTGATTCAGGAGAAACAAGTCATGTATTGATCAGATCGCCACATTACGGATCATCATTGAACAAAACTTGGAATGGCAGTCACCTCGCTACTTCTACTTCATCGACTTTTGTAAAGGCCTCCGACAGCATCGATCGAGAGGTGCTTTGGAAACTACTTCGCTACTATGGGGTGCCACCGACAATAATACATCTCATCCAACAGCTATACGACAATGCTGCATGCCAAGTAATCCACAATGGGGAACTAACTGAATCCTTCGAAGTGAGGACAGGAGTAATACAAGACTGCCTACTATCGCCAATGATTTTCTTGATTGCAGTAGACTGGATAATGTGACAAACAGCGGGCAATGAGGAAACAGGCATAAAATGGATTCACACAAAACACTTGGAGGATCTGGACTTCGCCGATGAAATATGTTTGATTTTCCACAAACTGGAAGATATGCAAGCGAAAGCAAAGTTGGCGATAGAAGAAGCATCAAGATAGGATTTCAGGTGAACATAGAGGAAACGGAAATGATGAAGATTCTTGGACAAGAACAACAACAACAACAGACAATGATCAGCATATATGAGAGGAACATGAAAGAAACAACCCTTTTACCTACCAACCTGGGAAGCATCGTTTCAACTACAGGCGGACGGAACTGATGAGGATATCAAAGCAAGAATCGGAAAAGCAAGACAAGCTTTCACTACTCTCAAGTCTGTGTGGAGGTCAACAACACTCAGCATCAAAAATAAGACCCGGATTCTCAACTCCAATGTGAAGTCAGTGCTACTCACTGTACGGATCAGAGACTTGCACTGAGCGTCATAAACAGCATCTCAAACAAACTACAGACCTTCATTAACAGTTGTCTTCGCTCAATACCACTCAAGATCAGATGGCCGGCCAGAAAAGATCAGCAACAGAGATCTCCGGCAATGAGCGAACCAACACAGCAGGAACCAATTGTGAAACAGATAGGCAGGAAAAAATTGAAGGTGGATTGGCCATACTCTAAGGAAACCACCAAGTGACATCACCAGACGAGCCATCGCTCGAGTGGAACCCGAAAGGGAAGCGGTGAGTGGGACGTCCAAGGGTGACATGGAGAAGATCGTGTGAGGAGGAGATGAAACAGTATGGAATAACATGGACGCAAGTGAAAAGTACAGCACAAGACAGAAGCAAGTGGAGACGTGCAGTTGAAGCCCTATGTTCCACTAGGAACCCAAGGGAACAATAATAATAATAAGTTAGAGCTGATCAGACTACATGAGTGAATGATGCACAGTTACCTCTAGTAAAACCATCAAAACATGCTCTTATGTTTAATAACATAAGAACAACCGTTTGATTCAAAGTGTCCTCTGAGTAGCATGATGAACAATGATCTCTGCATTGATTCGATTACTTTGCAAACTTGTATTTCTCACAAACAATATTCACAAATTTTCAAGACTTTGCCAAACAAAACATTATAACATCATTTACACTGACACTGATCAATTCACAAGAGTAATTTTCAAATGAGATCTATGTAAACAAAGGTCATTTCATGGAATGGTAAATAACATACGTTTTGAGTTTCTGAGTGTCTGATTTCATAACAACTGAAATATAAGTTGAGTTAGAAATGGTAGTCGGCAGGACAGCATCGATGTGTTGAAGTTAGCGTCAGCTATCCTTACTCAGAGCAAGGTGACACAGATGTGTCTGTACATCTACGCAAATGACTTTCGGTATTAATTAGGGTATATTAACCACAAGTGATATCACCAGATGTCTGCTTCATGTGCCTATTTTTCATAACGATCACATCTATTCGGTTATATCTACGTTTTACTGTACAGCCGACGAAACTTCGTTGAGACACGCGCTATCACGAAAAGTTCCAAAAGCTGGGAAAATACGATCAATTTTCAATGCTTTGGCGCCTCTACTAAGCAATAATAACAGTGAAACTCAGATTTACCTAAACAGTGTTGTGAGGCAGTTATACAGGCAATATATGTTTAGAAATACAAAACACGTATTGTAAGATAAAATCAGTTAACTAAAGTTGAGCTTTGAGAGGCATCTTAGAATCGAGAAGAATATTCCCAAGAAGGTGGATTCAAATCTCTGTCCACAAGAAACACATACCAACGCTTCCTACAGACAGTTCAGGGTCACTCGAAAAAATTCATGACATCCAACAACACATTGTCAATGTACACACTGGCAAAGGAGCATTACAATTAAAGATTCAACAAGGACGGAGGCAAATTAGTACAG